CTCCTCCTCCTCCTCCTCCTCCTCCTCCTCTTCCTCCTCCTTCTCCTCCTCCCCCCCCTTGGATGCAAAACGGTCATCATGTGGACTTGAGCACGGGCACGTACGCCACCGTCCACAGTGCCATCCAAAGAGCAAAATTCCACATAATGCAATGGAACGGCGCGAGGATCACACCCAAACTGCCATGGCCACATCTGGTCGTCAACATGTAAGAGCAGGTCCAGACAAAAGTGTAACACAGCACAGCAATTGTCGAGGAGACGGCGAGCATGCTAATGACGTTGGTGCAATTGTTGGCGTCTCCGGGCACTTCCTGGAATATGCCAGCATTGAAGACTCTTGGGACATCTAACAGAGGCACGGCGTCCATGAACGTTTCGGTGAACACCACCACGAGGAACGCGAACGCTCCGAGGCACATGGCGTAGAAGCGGTGGTCCCAAAACGCCAGCGCCCGCGCGTGCAGAGGGCTCTTGATTCGCTCGATGGCGTCCCGTGCCACCTCGTCCGCGAACGCCTCGCGGGTGAGCTTCACGGCCCTCTTGCCAAGGAACACCGTGGTGCAGAACTGCTCGGCGTGGTAGATCACGCCGACAACGAGCCCGCAGAAGAGAAAATACACCGCCTGCGCAAACCCTGGGGTCGCGGGGCCGGCCAGTACGAGGGCGCAGTAGGCGTACACGACAATGCCTGGGAGGACGAATCTCCTTGTGTTGAAATTCATCGAGGCCGCGGCGGTGACCAACATCCTGATGACCGGCCCGCAGCCCTGAAGGCGGTACTCAAACACGTCTAGCACATGCTCGGCCTTGTCCAGGTCCTGGACGATGGAGAAGAGCAGGAGCACGAGCACGAAGACGAAGACCATGACCGTGCCCAGGGTCAGCGAGTCTTTGAAGTCCCGGACGAAGTCGCACCTGTCCACCGCGTGCGCGGCGCAGTGTGCCACGGCGGCGGAGAGTGCGGCGTCGGAGAGCTCCTCGTAGGCGCCCGCGCCGAGCCGCACCGGGAGGGCCGCGTACTCCACCGGGACCTGCGCCTCGCCCAGGTCCACGTCGAGCCCTCTTCGGCCTTGTGCCGCTGCTGGCGCTGGTGTCGGCGCTGGTGTCGGAGACTCCACCTCGCTGAGCTGCGTGGCCCACAAGCAGTCATCGCACGTGCCCGGCAGGGCCTCGTGGCCGCCGACGCTCCAGCTGGGCGAGCATCAGGTTCCCGACCGGCAGTCCTCGTTGCGGACGCAGGTGGGGTTCAGGGCCTCGAGGCTGACGGAGTGGAGCACGATGGCCTGGAGCAGCAGGAGCAGGGCAGACGGCATCAGGGCGCAGCACGCGCCGCCGCACGTGGCGCCCTGCCGCGTGGCGGCGGACATGCCCCAGGCGTGCACACCGACGCAGTCGATGTTCCTCCGGGTCGTGTCAAGGAAATCAGCGTAGGCGGCCTGCTGCTTATCGGGATCCGTCTTCGCCTCGGCGCCGTAGTCGTCGCCCTCCTCGGGCACGGCGGGCAAGGACCCCATGTCCTCGTCCGTCGACGGCGCCAGCGTGCCGCCGGCGTCCGCCGCGGGGTGCCACGCCTGGGACTCGTGCACGCTCCTCTCCATCTTGGCCAACCGGTCGGACAGCGCCCCGATGTGCGCCGCGGTGGCCGCGTTGCTTGCCTCGAGGTTCCTGTCCGCTCGCCTCTCCACGTGGTCGACCGCGTTGTAGGCGGCCGACTCCTCGGCCGCGGTGACGCCGCCGCCCTGGCCGTGGTCGCCCACGGCGTCCAAAACGAACTCCAGCATGGCGCCTCGCGTGGGCGCCGGCCTGCACGCGCAGCGGCCAGGCATCAGCGCCCACGGGTGCGCGGAGGCGCGGGCCGCGCCGGCTGCTCTGGGCCGGCGGCGCTTGAGCCAAGGCGCTGCGCGCGACATGGAGGAGGGAGCAGCGCGGCTCCAAGACATCCGCGCGGACCCCTGAACATCAACGATTATGCAAGCGCTGCCAGTTCGGCGTTCGCTCCTCTTGTCACCTATCCGTCGCTCCGCCGATCACCAGGGCAACATCGTCCTGTGGTGTGTGATCAAGGCACCGGGAAAGAGGTCAGAATATTGAAGACCAACCCGTGTATATGCTCCAAAGCAGAGCTTGGCTAGCCACACGCAGTGACAGCCTGGACGGCCAACGCTTGCCCAATCGAGTAAAGCACAAGTCGCCCAATCTGGCCAGGAGAAGGCAGAGGAAGGAGGAACAGGAAGGGCACGACCGCGACCTTCGCTCCTCCCCTGCCCTTTCCCATCTTTCCCTTTTTATTTCCCATATTTCCTGGGGCATCGACGATCCATTGTGTCTCTGTGGTTTTTCTCCTTCTGAGCTCGATGGCTGCGCGTGCGGCAGCCTGGCCTGCCCAGCCCTAGATTCGGCGGTGGACAAACCTCCCTTTAGTAGACCTCCCCTTAGTGAAAACGGCCTGGGACCGAAACCGACGGACCTGGACCCGCAAAAACGACGGCCGCGACGCCCTCCCAATTCCTTAATCGACGCGTCAGGGTAGGAGGCCTGTCCAGCCCCGATAGAGAAAGGGCCCAACGCCGAGAGGACCTCTGCCGCCGCCCGGGGCCCCCCGCCCTGCGCCTCCGGCCTCCTGGCCTCGGGCTGCCGCGGCGGCCCCAGACCCAGACAGGAGGAGGAGGAGGAGGAGGAGGAGGAGGAGGAGGAGGAGGAGGAGGAGGTGCGTCGTTAAAAAAATCAGGACGGCCAATTTTTCGCCGCTCTCGGCCCCCGGAGGCCCCCGCCGGGCCCCGGGACCGTCAAGAAACGACTCGGGCCCTCACCTTCCAGGACTCCTGGAAGGTCAGGGCCCGAGTCGTGCTATTTTCTAGCCCTCCTGGACCAGGAGGGCTAGAAAATAGCACGCGACTTAAAAACCTATCCAAGAGCTTTTCTAGTTACGTCTTGGTTTTAGGCTGTTTCGTTTTGTTTTTAAGTCTGTAGGCCTCCCGTGCTAAAAAAAGCTCTCTGGAAGGTCAGGGGGACGAAAGACCGGTCCCGGGGAAAGGGTCGGGACACTTCTGGGGACGCATGTCTGGGGAATTTCTTGGAACGCTCTGGAGCTACATCCGCACCCTGGGCCTGCCTGAGCTATGCGGAGCAATGCCCGTATCCCGGGAGGTGCCTCTGGCCCGGGGTCCCGGAGCAGGCGAGGGATCGGGGGCGCGCACACACAGATTAGCGATCCATAAATTGGACGCGCGGTCGCCAAATCCATGGATCGGGGGAGGTGCCCTCCCCAAACTGCGGCCGGTGCCGCCTCGCTCGGCGGCGACCATCCGCGATTTTCTATGGAAACGGGACCCGTCCACGCCCCCTTAATCCATGTTCGCGATCGCCTGAAGGGCCCCAGAGCAAGCAAACCATCGAGCGGACAGGGGTGGTTCCGTCACAGTGCTGGATGCTGACGGTCACGCCGCCACCGCTGCGGCCGCGCGAAGATCCAGAAGGAGTCTGCACGCGTGGCTGCCGCTGGCTCCTGGAGCAGCGCAGAGGTCTCTCCTGTGCTCGTCCGCCGCCTCGCCTTCCGGGCCCGGCGTGCACCACGCCGCCCTGCGCGCGGAGGGGGGCGCCTTCATGAGCAGCTTGTAGTTGCCCCAGATGTGCAGGCGAAGGCGCGGGCAGAACGGCAGATTCTCCTGCTCGCTCGCCGCCGCTCTCTGACACCACCCCCCTCCCCACCGACGCTCACGTTGGCTCTCCCTCCTCCATCCCGCCTCCCCCTTACCCCTTCCTCCTTCCACCTTTCTCCATACGCTTTCTTCCCTCATGTTTTCTTCTCCTCCTCCGCCTCCTCCTACGTTTCCTCCTCCTCCTCCTCCTCCTCCTCCTCCTCCTGTCGCCCCAGGGCGCTGCCGCCACCTGCGGGCCTCGGGCAGCTACGGCGAGACTCCGCGCCCTCGATGCCAGCCGACGTGCTGCTCCAGCGGGCCCTCCGCCGCGGAGGCCCTCTCGCGCTCTCTTCGGGGAGACGTAAGACCCGGGTACGGGGGACTCGGAAATCCCCGACGAGGTCGTCAAAAAAATGACGAGGCCGAGCCTGCATTTTGACGAGGCCTCCCGCTGCAGACATCCCACAAAACTCCTCCTCGTCAAAATCCGAGTCGCGGTCGTCAAAAATCAATGGCGAACCCGAGTCCCGGCAAACCCGGGTCTTACGCTCCCCCGATCTCTGTTGACCAGCGACCAGCTGTCGGTGACCTTCTGGCCCGGGTCAGTCCAGACCCGGGTCAATCAGGCCTTGCAGGATCCTGCAAGATCCTGCATCCCAACCCGGGTCACTGCGAAGGATCCTGCAAGACCCTGCAGGATCCCGCACCCGAACCCGGGTCAATGCGACCCTGGCCCTGCAGGTTCCTTCAAGATCGGGCGCTCTGGCTGACCCCCGTTTGCATTGACCCCCGTCTCAAGGCTCCCGAAGCTGGCGAACGGCGCGGCCGCCGGCGCCCCAGCAGGGTGCCGATCGAGCTGTGCACCTTCGGCAGCTGCGCGATACGGCGCGCAGCCGAGGCGGCGAACTCCTGCAGCGCTGCCCCCCGCGCAGCGCAGGGCTGCCCGGGAGGAACAGGGTCTGCCCTTTGGATTCTTACGTTGGGTGTTGTACTGTGGATGTTTACGTTGGGCTTTCTCGTTGGAGCTCCCACTCTTTGGCGGTGCGCGCAAGGGGGTGGAGGGAAAGGGGAGGGCTTCTTAGAGCGCTCCTAATCATTTCATGTTGATTTGGTGTGCCTGTCAGCTCTGTAGCTTATCTACAGTTCGAGTTCAGTTAAGAAAACCGACAGCACCTATCAAGATGACACTCAACACCCGATCCCGCCGGAGTGTTCTTTCGATAGTAATATCCACCCGATCGATCTGAGATCAAGATGGCGAGCGGGAATAAGATCAAAGATGCTGCTTCTCAGAAGGCGCCGTCCTTACGTCTATAGACAGGGCCCGCGCCTTCTGACAAGCAGGGGTGCTTCTAAGAAGCCCTCCCCCCTCCCCCCAACCCCCTTCTGCGCGTGGCTGAACGATGCACACTGCACCCCTGTCGCTGCGACTGTGCACTTACCATCGTGCACGAACGGCTGCAGCAGGATGCAGTCACGGTCTGCCGTGGCCGGCAAGCGGTCCTGCCACCCGGGCCCGGGGCCCGCGCCACCACGCGCACGCGCGCCTCCTGGCGGCGCCCAGTATACATGGAGCCCCAGGGCACACACATAAAGACACACGCACAAATAACAAGATTCCCCATATGTTCCCATACTTTGGGGGCTTTTGTCTTCCCCCCACTTCCCATACTTTCCCACATTTCCGGGGGAATCGACGATTAATTGTGTCTGTGTGTTTTTCCCCCTCCTGACAGTACACCAATTGGAGCGGGCGGCCTCCCCCTCCGAGAGCAGAGGCGGCTGCACCACCCGCCTTCTTGCCCTCGAGTGCGAGGCGGGGATCTATCCATATCCACCGCTTGTGAACCGACGTCCTGGTGGCCCGGTGGGTGGTGGATATGGATATATGTGAAGGGGCACTGGGACACAGAAGTAAACAGACACAAATGACAGGATTCCCCATAATTTCCCATACTTTCTGGGCTTTTGTCTTCCCCGCCACTTCCCATATTTTCCCATATTTTCCCGGGAATTGACGAATAATTGTGTCTGTGCTTTTTCCCCTCCCCAATATTGTGGCCCTCTGGGGCCCGATTTTGTCCACATCCACCGCCTGCCGGGGCCCCCGAAACTTGATCCTCCAGGCGGTGGTCATGTATAAATTCCCGCCTCGGATCGAGCTTGGCAGACACGCAAGAGGCAGGAGTGGCCCTGGGCAGGAGCGACCCTGTGGCGCGCGGCCTGCGCACACCGCCGCACGCGATGCCACCGTGGTGGCCCGCGTGCCTGGCCTTGCCCCCCCCCCGCCCCGCGCGCCACCCGAGAGCCGCGCACCACTGCTGGCAGGACCCGATGGGTCGGCGGGGAACGAACTTCCCCTGCAGCAGACCTCCCTTCAGTGAAAACGGCCTGAGGCCGAGACCGACGGACCTGGACCTACAGAAATGACGGCCGCGACAGCCCTCTCGCGAACCGAAAAACAGACAACTCGCTCATCGGCGTGTCGTGGTAGGTCTATCAAGCCCCACATAGGAGTACTCCGATCGGGTCGGATCTAAGGAGGGGTAATGCATGGGTGCTCGGCGCATCAGCGCGCCTAGCTAGTTTTCCTGGCGCCTCCCAGCGCCGGAGGCGCCAGTGCATCGAGGAGGCGGCCCAGTGACAAGGGCCGAGAACGTCTGCACGCATCAGCTGTCCGCAACCACCCCTTCCTCGAATCTCCGCAAGCCGCCCGCCCCGATCTCACACGGGCAGGCGGTTGAGCCTCCTCTGGCTCCTCCTCCTCCTCCTCCTCCTCCTCCTCCTCCTCATCCCTGTCCTCCTCCTCTCCCTCCTCATCCCTGTCCTCCTCCTCTTCCTCCTCCTCCTCCTTCTCCTCCTCTCCCTCCTCCTTCTCCCCCTCCTCGGCGGCAAGCGAATTCCAGGACACCGGGAGAGGGGGGGGGGGGGGGGGGGCGGGCCAGCGGCGGCGGCGCCGACGCCATCGGAGGCTTCTTCGAGGCGAGGTGGAGCGAATAGCCCAGGGGGACCTCTCCTCCTCCTCCCCCCCCCCCCCCTTCCTCCTCCTTGCCTCCTCCTCCTCCTCCTCTCCTCCTCCTCCTCCTCCTCTCTCCTCCTCCTCCTCCCCCCCCCCTCCTCCCTCCCCCTCCCCCTCCTCCTCCTCCTCCGCCTCCTCCTCCTCCAGTATATGTATCCAGGGGCGCCGATGGTCCATGTCTTCGGCGAGGCTCCCGGAGGGCTACGTGCAATGCCCGCCCCTAGGCAATTCGCCCCCCTCGTCGCCTCCGATGCTTGAAGGGCTCCTCCTCCTCCTCCTCCTCCTCCTCCTCCTCCTCCTCCTCCTGCTCCTGCTCCTCCTCCTCCTCCTCCTCCTCGTGCGGGCAAGCCGGTCGAGCCCCGTAGGCCGCAAACACGTTGGCACAGGCGACCCTGAGGGCCCTCGGGAGGCGCTCCGCGGCGGCGCGGCTGCTGGGACGACGTCCTGGCGCTCGGATGCCTCAAGGGGCCCCGACTGCTGCTGCTGCTGCTGCTGCTGCCGCTGCTGCTGCTGCTGTCTGCTGCCGGCTGCCTGCTGCCTGCTGCTCCTCCGCCTCCTCCTCCTGCTCCACCTGGTCGTCGTCGTCCTCCTCCTCCTCCCCCATCCTACAAATTCTATCACTACTAGTGTGCAGAGTCACCTGGGTTGTGGGGTAATACGTTGCCTCCAAGCTGTGTGTACAACAGGCTACAGTAGGAGCTGCAATAGGGGCAAGTGCAATTCTAAACATCACCTCTGGTCCGGTTTTCTTGTAAGGGTCGGGGCAGCGCTCTAGCCGCGGCGTTCATCATCTTGCCCTGCAAAAGCTCGTTCGGACTCCCCGGAGGACCTTTTGAATTCTTCGTGGAGCTTTGCAAATCCAGAAAATCTGAAGAACATTGAAAAATGTCTTGTCCTTTTTTTCCCGTGCATGTTCTTAAGTAGCCCACAGGGTGCATCAAGATTCCTCAAGATTTTGGAGGACTCCTCGGAAAGCCTCACGTTCACGCAGGATCCCTCAGGATTCCTACATGTTCCTCGGGGGGCCGAGGCTGTGACCCAGTGGGCTTCCCATTCTCCGCGACGCGACGCGACGCGGGGAAAGAGTGGTGTGTCCCTCATGATGTCTCGGGATCCGCTAGGGTTCCAAAGGACTCCTCAAGGTTCCTCAGGGTTCCTCTGGATTTTTTAACACGCCGGATGGTTTCTCACGATTCCTCTGCATTTCCTCCGGATTCTTACGGATTTCTCAAGCTTCCCGAGGGGTCCTCAAGATCCTGTAGGATTGCCCAGGATTCGCCGAGATTTCTCAGGACTCGTCAAGATGCCTTAGGATTCCTCAGGATGCTTTAGAAGTCCCGAAGTTTCCTCGGAATTTCTCCGGCTTCCTCAAGATTCCTCAATGTTTCTCAAGAGTCCAGCTGATTCCTCAGAATCGAACATGGGTTGTTCAAGGTTTCTCGGTATCCGTCAGGGTCTTGGGCATTCTGAACAATTCCTTTAGATCCCTCGAGGGTTCCCGGAAAAGTCCTGCGAATGCGCGAAAAGCACAAAGATTCGGAGGACTCATAACGGTTCCTCCTGGAGCTTGATGGACCTTCTTGGAACCCATCAGGGATCTTCGAGCTCTTCAAACATTTTTGGGATCCCTGGGGCGCCCTGAAAAGCCCTTCAGGAGTTCGTCGGTGTCCAGCGGAAGGCGGAAGACCGAAGGGATTCTGAGGAGTCTTGAATGCGGAAGGATCCGAAAAGAGCCCGAAGGGAATCTGATGAATCGTCAGAAGATAGGGAATCATGACGACTCCTGGAGGAAGCATGGGGTATCCTGAGAAACCCTGGAAAACTCCGCGGAATCCCAAGTGAATCTGCGGAATCCTGACGGATTCAGTGGAATCTTACGGGGTCAGTGGAGAGTCTGGGCAAACCTGAGGAATCCCGACGAATCCTGATCCATCAGGGGGAATCCTGAAAAAGGAACCTGCAGGATCCTGGGGATCCGTAAGGATTCCCAAGCGAACGCTGCGACAGCCGAAACCTTGAGGACTCCTGGTAGGGGCTCTTGGTTTTACCGTTGCCTGCGTGCGGCAGGCTCAAAAAGGTTTGTACTTGGGCAGCACCACGGAATGTAGCATCATTTCCGTTAGGGACGGGGCAATTCTGAACGTCAACTGCGCGCGGGAAGGAACACTATGCCAATTGTTGTGTCTTCGCATTCCACTTGTGTATGTAATATACGCGCATTGCGTTTGTATTGTCTGCGTGTTGTATGCGTATTGCGTTCGTACTGCGTTCGTAGTGTATTTGTACTGTATCGAACCCACTGTCGTCCCCGAGCCCGAATCCGAACCCTTTACCATTCCCACTGTATTTTCACACTGCAAACAGATAGCGTTCAGCCCTACTACTACTGCTGCTGCAACTACCACTGCTACCAACACAAATACCCTTTCCCTGGGGCCGCATTTGCGCCCGCCACTTTCCGATGGCGACGGGGCTCATCGTCGTCGTCGTCGTCGTCGCCGCCGCCGCCGCCGCCGCCGTCGTTGCCATCGTCGTCGACGCCGTCGCAGTCGTCGCCAGGCCCAAGAACGGCCTCGGGGCCTCGACGAACCGAAGATGTCTCAGGCGAGGGCGCCCGTTCGGGGTTCCGCGCCAGGTTTCGCCGGAGTCGCCGATGACAGAAAGGGAAAGCTGGCGAGTCGCCGGGAACAGCACGGGAAGCTGGTGTGAAACCTGGCAAAACAGATTGCGCGCAAGAGGAGGATTACACAAAGAAAAAAAATATATAAACCAATCAGTGGATAGTTTTCGCTGAAGAGATCGACCTGGAACCCGGCAGCCCGAGAACCAAAACCCACCGAAATCGGCCCGGAACCAATAACTGGGAACCCAGGAGCCCAGAACTGGGAACCCAGGAACCCAGCCTGCTACCAAAATCGGCGGGAAACGATCGCCAAATCTTTCAACTTCCACTAGGACACTTCAGTGCAAGCACTGATTGGGGGAAGAGGAAGGGAAGGGGAGGGGGGGAACGAGGGCCAAGGGGGTGGAGAAAAAGAATGCTCCGGCGACTGGTGTGATAACTAGCGTGAAAGTTGGACGGGTTAAAACAGGAGCGGGAAAAAGAGAGGTAAAGCTGGCGAGATGGAAAGACAAATAGGAGAAAGTTGGGGAAACCTGGCGGACAGAAAAGCGGACGAAAGATAAAGAATATAGGACGGGTGAGGAGGAGAGGGAGAAGAGAGGGAAAGAGAGGACGACGACGACAACGAAGAAGACAACGACGACGACAACGACGTCCGCGACGACGACGACGACGACGACGGCGGCGGCGACGACGACGACGACGACGACGACGACGACGACGACGACGACGGCGGCGACGATGGCGACGACGCCACGCCCAAGGACACGAGCGAGAGCGAGGTCGCGCGGAGCAGGCGCGAGGGAGCGAACGCGCAGTCAGGGCGTCCAGCAATAATAAATATTTTCGTTTAGCACTCAAGGTTCAACAGGGACCAGGGAAGCCACAGGGCCTCCTGGAAGTCTTGAATAGAAACGCAAGAAGTTTCGAGCGGGAGATGGTTCATCGAGGAAGTATCAAGCGGAAGTATCGACCTGAAGTACTGAGCAAAACAAGGAAACAGCGAAATCAATGATGTCTTCCCGGGGCATTCGCCTGGGCCTCGAGCGCGCACTGACGCTGGCCTGGGGCTGTCCTGGCGCAGCCTGGAAGCCTTTGGAGGCCGGTCAGAAAACATCTTCGGTGTCTCGGGGCGTGCTTGACCCACTCTGGTAGACTGTCGGACCAATTTGTGGGCCATCTGTGCGACCACGAAGCCACTTTGGGAACCACGAGGGCGCCCCTGTAGTCCTTGCGGCACGGATGTGTGCCCGTGGTCTCGGTCCCAGGCCCGCCCGAGGCCTACTCCGCTATATATATATACATATTTATAGAGACATACATACATACACACATGTATATAGCACCCCTAGGCGGACGATGGATGCCAGACAATTTTATGAGAATTCCGACCGCACGCGACATCTGCCATCCATCCCGGGCCGTATGGCCAGGGCGAGACTCGGGAGCTTAGGCACGATGGCATCTTAGGAGATCCCCCAAATCCCTCAGGACAGACTGGGCCGCCAGGCCGAACCAACAAGTCAAGTTCAAACGGAACAATTAAAAGGTCACCCAACGCCCAAGAGACCTGACAGGAACCCATATCATAACCCCCCAAGAGGATCAGAGCCAAGGCCAGCCGACCATCAGGGAGGTCCAGGATGCGGCTCCCCATCAGTCGGGAGGTCATCGCAACCCGAGGCGAGGGCCCAAAGACGACCTAGAGAAGTTCGCATCGACCCATCGATCATCAGCTCGGCAACGGCATGTGCAAGACTTCTGGGGAAGGTCGTCGCCAGGGCGGTCCAGTGCTTACCGCCTGGGGCCTTCCCAGTCAAGATAACCTGAGGCTTGTGAGTCTTGCTACACAGGCCGTGGCGACAAGTGCATTTTCGAGAGAGAGGAGAGAGCGTGGGACAGAGCCAAGCAGAAATGCGGGTGGGTTTCATCCACCTTGTTCCGACTTGGCACATATGGAAATTCACCGACTGATGGCATCGACGCTTACAGAGCTGAAGCATACGAGGCGCTGACCATATCATCGACAGGGCATGGTTCTCGAGATATATAGGAACCCCACATCGCACGCACAGCTCTATAATACGAGAGTTGGAAAGGAATGCGGCGTTACCAGCGGCCAAACGGCCCTGCTCGGCGGGCGAGAGCTCGGACGAGGGGACGCCCGTGGGACAGGCGCGCGAGCGCAATGGATGTCGCACAGCCCTGCTCCACGACGTACATGGAGTTCCGAAGAAAACGCTCGAGATGCAACCGCTGGAGATCCACCCACGGATCAACTTTTCAAATGTGCGGCTGAGGTGATCTTCCCCTGCCGAGTTTTTAAAATCAAAATCTAAAGCAGGGGCTCCGAGGCCCCGAAGGGCCTTTGACAAAGTTCCTGACCCGGCAAAAAGTTCGAGAAGCACACGGTATTGAGACGGATTGCGGGACCCTCTTCCTCTATTCAACTCTTTTTCTGAATCGGCGCTACAGGTGGGCTCGGATTCCAGAAGTGCTAGGAGAGTAGAGAGGCTTCATGGGCGGCGACCAACCTTCATTGTCTTAGTCGCCGAGCCGCCCTCACCGCCGGCTGGCATGTCGCGGGGGCGCGGTGTCCGATGTTTGCCTCCTCGATCCCGCCTGCGGTACACGCTGCCCAGAAGTGCTCCATCATCAGGTGACCCAGGCGAAATACGTCGCCGTGGACCCAACTCAACTCGGACAGAAACTTTGTCTCTTTGTCGTATCGCTTTAGATTCTCTACTGAGGCCCAGCGGCCCCTCAACTGAACTTGGAACGCATCTCTCCGACGGCTGAGCACATCGTCGGAGGCCCCGCCGTGCCTGTGGCAGCACATGTGGTCCGACACCTGAGGCAAGCCCAGCGGACCAAAGCGCCGGCTGTGCTTGGGCCGCAAGGCCGCGACCGTGAACGACCACAGGCTGGAGTCGGAGCTCGTCGTCGATCTCAGGTACTCCAGAGCGGGAACCAACCACGGATCTAGATCGATCACTACGCTCTCGTCGCGAAGCCCTGTCTTTCCAGGAATCAGCGACCCCACATCGTGAAGGAGTAGGGCCCAGTGACGATGCTGAAGTCCAGCCGCTGGCGACGGAGGGATGAGGTTCCGTCCATGCAACTTCGACGTCTCCCCGGGCCAGACAGCCATCCAGACGCTAACGACAGGGCGACCCAGACAGCCATCCAGGGCGCCCCCGCCTCCACCAGCAGCGGGCACACAGCCGCCGCCTGCGGCAACGGCAGCCGCGTTCCCGCAGGCACCCGACGCTTCCGCGCGATCGAGGCGCGGTCCGCTCGCGGCCACTGCGACTTCCGCGCGCCACGCAGGCTCGGGTAGAAGTGGGCATAGGCTCGCCGGCACCTGAGTCCCGTGATCGGATGAGACCCCCTGCTGGAAGCAACCGTTCAGGTGCAGGGCCAGGACCACGTCCATCTCTTCCACGCTGCGCCAGTCGAGTCCTCGCATGGTGCAGTACTCCAGGAAGGCGGGCGCCGTTTTCTTGTAGAGTACCTCCGTCTTCGGGCGGCTCGCAATCTGCTCGAGGACCGTCAACGACCCCACAGGCCCCCTCTGGGCGGTCAAGCGCTGGGCGGCTGCCGCGCGCGTCTCGCGCTGGGCCATCGCCCGCGGCGCCCTCGCCGGCTGGCAGGCGGCGCGCGGCGCGGCAGCCTGAGAACCAACCGAGACGGCCGCGGGAAAGAGCATCTGACGGATTCCTCTCGCTGGGGACCCACCGAACGTGAAGGCGACATCCCGACGCTAAAGGTAAGGAGGCAATCTTCAACGTCACCGACTGGGGGCGCGCGGACTTCGCTTGGCCTTTACAGCAGGCCAATGCTACGCACATGTTATCGACGAGGGCGACCACGCGCCGCCCTACGGCAGCCCCAGCGCGCAGGATATGCTTGCAGGCCAACACGAGGGCCCCCCCCCCAGCTGCATGATATCAGCGCCGTGCCCAACCTCGACGGCCAAGACGTCCTTCCAGTCCTGGGGCTTCATGAGGTCCGCGGGGATCTCCTCGAAGAGCAGGGGGTCCACGTCCTTGAACACTCGGGGGGGCGCGTCCTCTGCCGGGTAGGCGGCAGCCTCCGCGTCGGCGAAGTCCCGAGAGCCCCCGGAGCACCCAGACTTCCGAAGAGCGTTTAAACGAGCCTTCTCGGCGCCATCGACACGATACCTCACCCCCTCTCTGACTCCGCCAAGTTCTGCGGCTTCATCAGCACGAAGACTACGATGACAAACTCCCAAGCCGAACTCAGAGGCGTCCGAAGCACAGAGTTGTTCATGCCACCCTGCGCACATATCGGTAGTGAGGAGAGGGAGAATAGAAACAGTCCCACGAAGCCCAAGCGCCACCTGAGGCCAGAAGGGGCCACCACATCTTCAGCCGTCTCGATAAACGCATAATTGGCACTCAGCAGGGCGAGGGCCTCACGACGGACCATCGAAGACCACGTCACGTGCCCGATAAGAGTCCTAAGCAAGACGCCACTGGCTGACCCCCTGGCCAAGACGCGCTCGATCGCGAAGAGCAAGCGCCAGAGATTCCGAGGCTTGACGGACAACCAGCGGCCGGCAACGAGGGAACTACCTAAAAAGGAGGCATCTGACAAAGGCTCACACTCTCCATGCACGAGAAGACCAACAGACCTGAGCCTAACATGGATGCGATCAAATGCAGTCTGCACATTCTGACTCGACTGGCCGAGCATAAAGAACTTATCAACATATCCTGCCGCGGTGGTGTCGTCCGCCGTCCTGGGCACAACTCCGGGCCCCCCGTCCGAAATGACGCGACGCGGACTGAAACCAGCCTCATGGATAGCGCTTCGCATCACGACCCGACAAGAATGAAGTGCCCAAGAGAAGCCCATAGGCGTGACAGTGATACACGGAAGAAGGGACTGACCAGGCACGGACGGAATCCCATCTAATCCAAATGCAGAGAGCAAGCCTGGATCCACCGGTGGCAAAGAGAACCGCTCGACCATCTCTGGCGGGACGCGCATGTGATAGGAGGCACGCTGGACATCGACCGAAGCCACAAGACACGGACCTCCCTTGCTTTCGATGGCAGAGAAGGCGGAAACAGGAGGGAGACGGGTAGACGGGAGAGAAGGAAAATAACAAGTGGCAGCTCTTGTGTCGAAGATGAGACGCAACTGATTCGACTTCTTGGCAACGCAACGCACTCCGAGCAGACCCTTCCGCCCCCTCGCGGGCTGGAACGTCGACGCCCCACGGCGGGCAAGGCAGGCAAAGCAATCGGCGCATGTAGTAGGAGAGCGGGAAGGACAGGATCGATATAGGCTCCTTTGGGACAAGCCTCCTGCGCCAAAGCCTGGGCCTCTGAAGCTGGCCTCAGCGCGCGCGATCTCCAGTCCTTAAGCCAGAGAGAATCGGTCTGAGAGAGCAAACAGCGCAGGTCCACAGGGGCCGCCCCCTCGTCAGGCCACGCGACTAGATCGCGAGAGTAAGGGCGGGCGGGGCCCGCACGCCCATGAAGCGAATGATTTCTCAGGAGCTCGCCGAGGGCTCGCTGGGGGGAGGGCCGAGACGACAGAAGCAATCGCTGAAACGGTCAAGTACCTTTTGCCGTGACAGAGAGGACGGTGCAACGGCAGCCTCTTTATATCCTGACATCTGGTTAACCACCTGCGCTGCATCGCTAGCCCAATGAACTGGGCGCTGCAGGCGCTGGCGGCGGCGACAGACGGCGCGGCTTACACCGGGAGAGGCGCTGGCCGGGGCGCCAAGCAACGGAAGCGGGAAGATGTCACGCTGCCTGTAGTCGCCGAGAGAACGGGGATTCAAAAAATCGCTCGGTCCCAGGTCCCCATCTCCTGAGCTCGGGGGCATGTCACTTGTCAGCAGCGGGCCCGTCGCCTTCCTTGCCGCCACTCCTGGCGCCTTTCTTGGCTAGGGCCCGCTCCTCGCGCGCCTTGCGGCGCCCCTTGGCGATCTGACATACCTTGGACAACTGGTCTTTCGCCAAATCTGCAAGCTGGGGGCTCGCGCATGCACGGCCTCGAACCATGTCGGTGCCCACGTAGAGATGGTTGTCAGCGACGCTCTCCGAGCCAAGCCAGACGATCACGGCAGCGTTCCTCTTGAACCTGAATCGCGCGGCACAGGGGTTCAGCGCTTGCCAAATTCGTGACCGTCAGCTGGTCGTGCAACGCCATCTGCTCCAACATGCGGCAAGCCCTCTCGCGTTCGTCAACCCCAACATCTGATGAAGAGAGTTTAGCCTCCGTCCTGGACCTCGTGTGCCTTCCCATGGGGCCCCCGCCGTTCTGTTCGATGAATCGCAGCGCCCGCGTCGCAGCGCGTGGGCCGCGCATGGGCCAGTCTGGCCACGCGTCCTCGCGCATCTGGAGGATGGCGCCCCCGAAGGCGCGATGGCGGTTCCCCGTCGTGTCGAGCGCGACGGGCTGCGCACGAGCATCGCCGACGCCCATATGCGCCGCGGGAGCAGGGGCGGCGCCAGGGGTCGGGGCCGCGGCGGCCGTGCCCGCCAGAGCGGGAAAAGCAGCGGCGGCGGCCGCGGGGGCGCCCGCGAGGGCCGAAGGGCCCGCGGCGCCCGCGGGGGGCGCGGCGGGCGCGACGCCAGCCGCAGGCGCAGGCGGCGCTGCAGCTGGAGGCGCCAGGCTACCCCCCGGCCCGACGAGGGCGGCTGCGCCCAAGGCAGGAGCAGCCAAGGGGGCAAACCCTCCACCCGGTGCCAGGCCAGCGGCCACGCCACCTGCTCCACCGCCTGCCGCAAGCGCACCTCCAGGCGCTGCGGGCGCGGGCGCTGCTGCTCCGACTCCTGCGATGGCTGCCGCAGGCGTGCCAGCGATGCCAGCCCGACCCCCGACGTTCAAAGCGAACCCAGGCCTCATCGGAAGGCCCAATCGCGTCGCCGCAGCATCACGGAGCCCATGAAGTACAGCAGGGGGCGGGACATGCCGAAATCTGTGAACGCGATCACCGGCGATGGCGGCCGCGTCCCGCCCGATGGCCCCGCCCCCCAGGATCGCGAACTCCTGGGTGTCGCTTCCTGCTGGCAGATCTTTCTCATGCTGATCATCGTCGGGCGTAAGGGCGCTGATGGGGGGCTGAGCCCCTGGAGGGATGGCCAGCACGATCCGCTCGCGCCAAATCCGAGGCCCCGCCACTCCGCACCGCGCAGCCAGCACGTCGCCCTCCTGTAGGCCAGGATGGCGAAGAGGGTTTGCCATGGTGCTCGGGTGCGACAGCCCAAGCTGCGCAACGGAAACCGAGCGGCCTGCTCGCGGGCCAGGTCCTCGATCGAGCCGTGGATCACCTCCGCCGCCGTCGATGCGCAGTGGATCTCCGCGGGGCGCTGCCGGCCCGCCAGGAAGCCACAGAGACCGGCGGCCCCCGCCACCAGCACGAGGAGCGTCCGCGGGAAGCCGCAGTAGCACTCCTACCGCACGAGCTCCTTCGCCGACCCCCCTGGCCCGCGCACCAACTGCGGCGAGCAGTTGCAGTCGGGGCAGGCGGGCGGCGGCCGCGAGAGACCCCAGACCACCGCTGCGGCGTGGAAAGCCCGCGCGCCTTCGGCCGCCAGCGCCTGGGCCGGCGCTTGCGCGCGCGCGAGGGCGATGAGGTGACCGCCCCCTCAAGAGCTTGAGCCGCGTGCAGCGGATCGCACACGCGGAGCGCGAGGTCTCACATGCGGCATCCTTGCGGCCATCCCTCAAACCCATCAAACATATATGTGTAGATGTATGCACATATGTCGAATGCAGGCACCGCGCGCTACACGCAAACCAACCTTGCAACCAAGTGAGATATGCCGTTCACGTGAAATGGCACTGCACCTGGCTCAGAAGAGCCAGCAGCACGTTCGTGGCAGAAGACTTGTAAGTCTGTGAGGTCCGCCAACTGCTGGAACACGCTCGCCTCGTCAATTGCGTCGATGCCCCGCCGCTCCGACAATCCACAACATTAGAGGAAACAGAACTATGCACACACACACACACACCGATATTGGCCAGGTCCACCTGAGCCCAAGATCGGTGCATCCGCCCTCCTGCCTTGGCCAGGAAGGCATATGCACCGATCCTGGGGCCAAGGATGGGTCTGGCCTAGACAGGTGCATGTGCATAGTTCTCTTCGCCCGAAAATATGGTCCACTTCTCTGTTGAAATTGCGCAGCAGCCAGTCGACAGGGTCCAAGTAGCCAGCCTTGGACTCGAATGGCTGAGGGAACAAATGCTGAGGCGGATTCCATCCCACGCGCAAGCTCTGCTTCGCGAGAAGGCCGCAACCACTGCGGCAATCCGACGGCATGCAGCAAACCTCGGCCACAAACGCACCCGCGACCTTCCTCATGACGCCAGGCACATGTAGGACGCAAACTTGTTGCTCCAGTGGGGTCCCGCAAGCGTGTTACGCGCGCTCTGTCGTCACACGTGTGTATGCCACTGCACGCAAGCAGCAGAAACGAAGCATGACGCCCATGGCGAGGAATGCGTTGCACCACACCCCGCCAATTTGCTCTTCTGTCTTCTCGAGCCATTGTTGCTTGGTGTGGTCAGACGCGCATGAGTGTGCAACATGTTAACTGCACAGGTAATTAAAATATGCCTACCTTCATCCAGCCTCGGCTTGACCGAGAACACCCGCCTCAACATTGAATGTTCCCGTCGGACTGCGCTCCGCAGCGAACATGTATTCCACTGACTAGTGGAGAACAGAGAATGGCCGCAGCTAGTGGCACATTCGCACATGCCGCAAACATCATGCGAACGGGAGACATGCCCCTGCTGAAACATTCATGTACTTGGAGCAGCACGCGTCGCCGGTACTCTAACGCCACATTGTCTGCTGAACTCGCCCTTCGGTCGCTTTTGTCGCACAGTGCCACCGGATGCTCCCGTGCTCGTCACAACTTCGAAGCTGAGTGTCTGTGTTTTAAACCAGACGCTAACGCTCGCGTCGTCTTGCACCGTGGCCCCACAAAGCAGTAATTCGACACATGCAAGTTTCCAATGCCAATCGCTTTCGCCCTCAAGCGACGCTGTCACAGAGGCTGCCGTGAGCTGCCGCTCTTCGAAGCTGCACGCCAGAGCGAAAGCTTTGCACCATGCCGTTGGCGTCGGGCACGAGCTCGCCACCCTCGTGCAACCAGGGCTACAATCCCCAAGTCATGTTAATGTGACACCAGCTGACCAGGGGCCGCATCAGACAGATGTGCACACGCTGATGGGCTCGTTTTCCACCATAAGTTGGAGGGGGACGGAGTCCTCGTCCTGCTCCTCCGCCTCCGCCTCCGCCTCCGCCTCCTCCTCCTCCTCCTCCTCCTCCTCCTCCTCCTTCCCCCCTCCAATTTATGGTGGTGGTGGTGGTGGGAAACAAGCCCAACAGACGCTGTCGGTTCGCACCTGCCTCCCGTGCGCGTGGCTCCAGTGCACGTGTCGCCTCCGCCGCCCTGGGCATGGCAACCAGATCTGCGGCGTGTGCCCAAAAGGTTGCCGCGGCTCCTGGCCAGTGCGAGATCGTGGTGGGCAGCAGCGCTGGGATCGGGAACCTGGTGGAACAGATCCACATGGCGAGCTGACTCGAAAGCTGCCTGGACGTCTTGGGACCCGATGGTCAAAAGGCAGGCGTCCATTAGCCAACGCGCCGCGCAGATTCAAGCATCACGGCGCAACAACCGTCCACGGAGCATCCGCTCGTGTGCCTTTCGCTGGTTGACCTGGCCTGGCTGCGCATGCGCCTCACGCGCTCACTCCAATTTTCAAGACCTCCTCCATCCCGGCGAACGTTTGAGAGGCGCTCGGGTAAATCGCGAAAATATGTTGAACCAGTGCAGGGAGTGCCACCTCATAGCGCCCAGCTGCAGGTCTGATCCAGCCACCGCTTGACCTCGCATGCTCGAAAGCTGGCTCAGAACGTCTAGACACAAAGATGTCTCCTGGCTCGATGCTGCCCACATGCCCTGCAAAACGGCCTTCGGCACAGGTGGCGCAGTTGCTCTGAGGTTGCCGTGGGCGCCGTCATCGACTGCCTCCTCCTCCTCCTCCTCCTCCTCCTCCTCCTCCTCGTCCTCTTCCGTGCCCCCCTCCTCATCCTCCCCTCCTCCTCTCCTCCTCCTCCCTCCCCCCCTCCCCTTCCCCTCCTCCTCCTCCTCTCCTCCTCCTCCTCCTCCTCCGCCTCCTCCTCCTCCTCCTCCTCCTCCTCCTCCGTGCCGTGCCGTGCCGTGCCGTGCCGTGCCGTGCCGTGCCGTGCCGTGCCGCGCCATCCTCCCCCCCTCCCCCTCCCCAGCTGGGCGTGCTGGCTGGGCGTGTCTCGCTGGGCGGCTGGGCTCGGCACCGCTTCGGCGCCCGGCACCTCGGCGCGCGCTCCGCGCGCGCGGTCCACGGCGGCACCGCCCGGAGGGCCGCGGGGCCGCGCGGCGGGCGCGGCCTCGCCCCTTGTGTGGTTCGCCCGTCCTGCGCCTGGCCCTCGCGGAACTGTGCGAGGCAGGCCCCACTGCATGGTCCATGTGTCCTTCCCCCCCTCTCCCGATGCTGTCTTGGTGCGTCTTCCCTCGCTTCCCCCCTGCCCCTCCTTCTGCTCCCCCTGTCCATCCTGCTCCTCCTGCTCCTCCTCCTCCTCGGCTTCCTCTTTCCCCCTTCTCCTCCGCCTCCCTTCTTCTTATTATTATATTTCTCGTCGTCCTCGTCTTCCTGCTCCTTATCCCCCTTTCTCCTGCTCCTCCTCCTCCGCCTCCTCTCCCCCGCACGGGTGGGCGAGATCCTGGGGCATCTCCCAGATCTCCAGCATGGATTTCGGCGGGTCGTGCGACTTGATCGAAAAAAAAAAAAAAAAAAAACATTTCTGCCGCGCGCCTGATGAGGAGAGGGAGGAGGAGGAGGAGAGGAGGAAGTGGGGCGAGGAACTTGAGAGAGGAGGGGGATGAGGATGACGGAGGAGGAGGAGGAGGAGGAGGAGGAGAGGGGGAGGATGGCACGGACGAGGAGGAGGAGGAGGAGGAGGAAACTGAGGAGGAGGAGGAGGAGGGGAGGAGAGGGAGGAGAAGAGGGAGGAGGAGGAGGAGGAAGAGGAGGAGGCGGAGGAGGAAGAGAAGGCGGAGGAGGAGGACTGTGAGGATGAACGGCAGCAGCGGGAGCAGAAGCAGCAGCGCGCCCCCTGGGGCAAGGAGCGGGTTCGCCGCGGGGGAGGGTGCCAACACGTGTTCATGTGTTCGGGGGGGGGAAGGCGGGACGGGGATGACGAGCGGGGGGCGTGGGACGAGAGATGGCGAGGGAAGGGAAACGGGGATGTGCTACGAGGGAGAGGGGAGAGGCGGGGAAGGGCACGGGTAGGAGGAGGGGAAGCGGGGGGGTCGGTTGCCTGCCGTGCTCCCACTGGGCTGGCATTCGGAGGCTTCGGGCGCAGCTGCAGGTCAGCAGAGAGCCGTGGCCTGGGGAAGGCGCTGAGGAGACCGTGCTTCGAGGGCCCTCGAAGCCAGGCAACTGCGTTGCAGGGGATGAGAGGAGGTTTCATGGGAGAGGGAGGGGGAGGCCGTGTCAGATGGCAGGGCAGGAGGAGGGGAAGAGGGGGGGGAAGAGGCAAGATCAATCATCACCGCATCGGGAGATCTGGCCGTGCATCGGCACGGAGCCTGGAATCGAATCGGACCGGCTGCGCCAAGATGCACGAGGGCGCCAATGCAATCATCGGGCCGCGTCGGATCGCTGAAGCGCAGTGATCGAGCAGGGTCGATACCAGCAACAGGCTCGAAGCCGAACCGTATCGATCGGATCGGAAGGAGCCCTGGGATGAGGGCCAGGGCGGACTGGCATCGTGAGCCTCGGCCGCTGCGGCAGGCGGCGGCTGCGCCAGTCGGCGGCTCGGCAGGCAGCTGTCCTCCACGATGATCTGCCTGGGCACGTGGTCGAGCGGGTCGGGGTCGTGGTAGTCCTCTGCGGCGGTCGGCGGGGGCAGCAGGCAGCGGATCAGAAAACGTGTCGGGCACTGCGGTGCGAGACCAGGTCCTCCGCCCCCCTCCTCCTCCCTGCTTGCCGGGCTGCCCCGCGCTCGCCGCTCTGATGGCGGGGGCTGGGGTCGAAGAGTAAAAAAGACCAGATAAACGTAGACTTTCGGCGCCCCGCGCGGATTTCTTGGATCCACGCTGGGCCCCACTGGCGGCGTCTCCGGCGCCGCCCCTGGCGCGCTCCGCGCCGGACCCCCGCGCGGATCCAAGCAATCCGCGCGGAGCGCCAAAAGTTTATGCTCCTGTGGTTGTCCCTTCCTCTATTCCTCACAACTGGTTGCTCCTCCTCCTCCTCCTCCTCCTCCTCTTTTTCCCAAGCCTTTGCCTTCGTCGTCGTCGTCGTCGTCGTCGTCGTCGTCGTCGTCGTCGTCGTCGTCGTTGTCGTCGTCTCCTCCCTCCTCCCCCCTCCTCCCCCCTCCCTCGTTGTCCTCGCCTCCTCC